TAAAACGTTGCATCTAATGCTTCCTTGACATTTTATCTCCATTGCCACGACATCTAAGGACTCCTTACTGATAACGTTGAGCTTAACCAAGACGACTTGTATACCTAGTATACCTTACGTTCTTATGGAAGCGGTGATGCCTCGCTTTGGCATAGCCCATCACCACACGCATTAGTTCGATAAATGTCGTTCTTGGAATGGCAGATTTGGGTCAATATTATAGGGACCTAGGGTTTCTATGTTGGTTGATTTAAGTGAACTTAATTAATCATCGCAACATTTGAAACCCTAAACATGCATCTATCATACCATGCAATCATATATAAACACAATTATATATAAAAACATAAGTAAAAGATGCATTTGGCAACTAGCATGACCCCTTGAGTCTTTAAATCTTCAAGGGTCTTCGACGCTTCCTCTTGGCTCGTCTTCTTAGAAACGCCGTCTTCAAGACATCTCCACCAAATATGCAATTACTAGTTACTACGATTAGGATTAATCTAAATATTAAGCTACAAAAATACGCAACGGTACGCAAACCGTATTTAGATTTACAAAAATACATAACGGATCGCAGTCCGTATTTACTATCCTAGTCGGGCCCCACTAGTTGCCATTATCACAAAACTTGTGAAAGAATATACATTCCATTCATCCATTCACTATATGTGAATGGCCCATGCATTTTACAACGAAAAACAAGTAACAATGCATAACACGCACAAACTAGTAACTAACTTAGGTGGTTAATCCAATTAACGCGCCTAATTAAAACTAGTCAAAGTTTTTTAACATTTTATGTGATTAAACGCATAAAATAGCTCGAGTAATTAACAAAGCTCCCACTAAATTCTGCATCCAACTTAATTAATCCAATTAATTAAGTCGGTTAACCCATATTTTTTCAAATTATTTTTGCAAGTGCCGGAGGAACCGAGGCCTACCCTTGTTAAAATAATTAAATAAATAAATAAAATGGCCCAATTACGCAAAATAATAGCCCACAACATGCCCAAGTGCCTAGCATTAAAGCCACGGGGCTAGGCTTGCTAGGCACTATGGCCCCATGGTTCGCACGCCTAGGGTGCTGACCTGCTCACCATGGCTGGCTTGCTACCCCTAGGTGCCAAGGCTGTGCGTGCTAGCATGCCTGCCTAGCAGAGCACGCTACGCTTGCTGGCACCAGCAGCATTGCAACATGCTGCCCATGCTTGCGTGCATGCTGGCGCTAGCAGCGTGTGGCTAGGCTTACTGGGGCTTGCATGCCTTGCTGCCCAGCTGCACTTGCGGGCACCTTCCAGCAGCCACACAACACACGCATCAAGCACGCACATGATGTGCACCCAGCCCTCCGCACACTAGCGCATCTACGAGGCAAGGAAGCCCCACCACGCACCTTGGCAGCCACATGTGGCTTGCTTGAGCAGCCCGGCTAGCCTAAGGGTGCAATTTGGATGATTTTGCCTCGATTTGCGTGCACTTATCTCGGGATTTTTATTCTCGATTTAGGTATGATAAAAATTAATTCTAAATTTATTTTAGAACTAATTTAAAGCAAAATGAAAATAAAACAAGTCCACTTAATTAAATTCAACTTTAATAGTGCACAAGCCTAAATTATTTAAGAATCATTCTTTAAATCAATTTAGGTTCATCTTGATAATACAAAATTGAAGGGCTATACTCATAATTAATATAACCATACATAAATTTATAATGAGATTTGACAAAATTAAAGAGGTTGGAAAAACAAACCCATTCATCTAATGAAAAATTTCCAACACTAACTTGTGTATAATTGAAAAATTACATCTTCCAATATGAAGATTAATTAAATTTCAATCACAAGTTTTGAACTTTTAGGACTTTAATCGAATCAAAAATGATTAAATCCAAGAATTAGTTAAACATGGAATTTAGCAATCAAAGTTCCAACCAAATAAACAATTAAAGATCGGATCTTTAACATATTAGGGAGTTCAAATTACACATTCACCATAAATATTCACACTTGAAGCAATTAATTTGCAAAATTGTGAAATTTCAAGTTTATGTGAAAAATGAGCTTACCAAATCAAGCACCAATTATGACATAATAAACATGCTTAATAGGGTTTATAATTTCAGTAGATTAGTGATGCAACCATACATTTAATCTACCTTTAACATGCCATAATTAATCAAGGTTTAAAGATTTAAATTTTTCGTCAAAAAATGAAAAACCCCTCAAAATACATGTTTCTGGGTGGGTTTTGGCTTTTGGACAGCCCTCAAAGCAGTGCCAAAAACGATTTAGAACATCGATTCCACCCAAAATTCACTATTTTTGGGTCGAAATCTGAGTTCATGAGCCAAAATTAGTAAAATAAGAGATTAAAATTAATTAAAAACGAGTTTCTAATCTAATTAGAAAACAAAACTGGAATTTAAATCCATTTTAAATCACCTCAATTAATTATAAGTTACAATAATTAAAATGAGCGTCGCTCTAATACCACAGTTGGGTTTCGTAGCATCCAACGCTACGTGAAAGAGAAACCCGCCCAAGACCCGCCCACTAATTAAAGCAAATAAGCATGCAATCACATAATTAAACAACAAAAGAAAGAGAAAGGGAAATGACATTCTTACCCTCGACGCGTGCTTCGCTCCTATAAAACTCGGACTTTAAAGCCTTAGCTCCGCAAGCGCGAAAGCCTCTGACGGAGTCTACCCTCGAGACCCGACCCGAACGACCTCTACCCCGAAGGTTAGTCGAGGCTAGACCAAGAAAAGACTAGAGTATTAAGAACTTAAAGGTTTTCTCACCTATAGGGAGATGCCTTATTGAGTTCAACACAAGTGATTTTTCCTAAACCCAAAACTTGGGTATTTATAGGGATGGGAGCCTTGATCTCCCCTTCTCCCATCAATGTGGGAGAATTGAATTTTTCCACCAATTTATTTTAATCTAAAACAAAGTAAAATGCAAAGCAATCAACAAGCTCCAAGTGGCAAAAGGGTGAGCAAGAGTAGGTGACGACCAAACAAAGGGGGGACCAATACTCCTTGCTCACCAAGCAAAGCTACGAAGAATCAGTCCCCACCAAAACCCAAGTACATCCCATGCATAGCTGGCAGCAAGCCTTCCTTGGGGTCCAAGGCTGCCTAGCTGGCGCCTGGCACCTTGGCTGGGCTGGCTAGTCGGCCTACATACGCATGCACGCAGCCAGCAAGCAACGCATGCAATGCGGGCTGCTTCTGCTGCGTAGCGTATGCTAGGCGCTGCCTAGCACACAAGCATGCCCAACCTCAGCACATAGCATGTTGCGATGCCAAGCACACAAGCTTGCACAGCCACAGCACATAGCACACTGTGATGCCAGTGCGATGCTGCGATGCGTGGCTGTTGTGCGTGTAATACCCCATATTTTTGAAAGGTATTTTCTAAATTAAAGAGTATTTTAGTCTCGTATTTTGACGTATTTTTCTAAATTAATTATTTTTCTAAAGAGTATTTTAGTTTTGGAGCCAAAATGATGTTTAAATTTTGGCGCCTAAATCATTAGTCTTATTATTTTACAAAACTAATTAAAATGGATAATCCAATAAATGAAACTATTTTATACCTATGTTATAAATAGTATTTTTGATTCCTCAAAAATTAAATAGATAAACCGAAATTATATTAATTCGGTTAAAATAAATTAATTAAATTAATTTCCTTATACTAATTAAATTGTAAATTCGGATTTCATATAATAAAAATCTAAATTGTTTTAATACCTTTCCAAATTAATTATTTTTATGAAATATATATCTATAAATTAATTAATAAAATTAATTTCCTAAACTAATGACATTTTCGGATTTTTCATAAAGAAAATCTGATTTTATTTATTTTCATAAAATAAACTAATTAAATGTTATTTTTAGATTTTTTACAAAATAAAAATCTGATTTTATTTAATATCCTTCTAAGTAAATTATTTTCATGAAATAAATTAATTTTCTAAACTAATTAAATGTTATTTTCGGATTTTTCATAATAAAAAACTGATTTTTATTTAATATCTTGCTAAACTAATTATTTTCATAAAATAAATTAATATTCTAAACTAATTTATAGTATTTTCGGATTCTATATAATAAAAACCTGATTTAATATCTTCCTAAATTAATTATTTTCGAGAAACATATGTTTATAAATTATTTTACCTAATCTATGAAATTAACATAGAAGATCCGAAAATATTAAGCAAATATTTTCGGCCACTCATAGCTTTTCTAAATAATTTTTAACTTATTTTATTAAAAATAAAAATCCTTTAAAAATCCTTATTTCTACTCTTAAATCTAAAAATTATTTGATCTTATTCTATACTTGCACTCCAAGCTCAAACTTACTAAACAAAAATTTCATGACCAAATAAAATCTACATATTCTTCCATACATTTAATTATATCCTAAACCCTTAAAACCCTAATTTACATCCTTTGAAATTACCATAAATCATACAACCCTAAATTGCTATAAACTCATCACCTAAACACCTATAAATACCCCTTCCAAACACCCCAAGACTCAAACCAAAAACCTCAAAAAATCTTCTTCTCTCTCTTTCTCTCTCTCACGGTTTCCTCCTCTTCTCCTCCCTCAAACTTTCGGCCGCCACCATCACCGCCGGCCCTCACCGGCGACCACCAGCCACCACTGCCGGCAGCCACCACCTCTCACGGCCGACCACCTTGCTTCCTCCCTTGCCTTGGTTTCCATCTTCGTCCTTCAATTTCTCCTTCTCCTAAACTTGTTTTACAATTTATAATTGACTTTCATAAATATTATTTCTTGAATAAATTATTTTATAAAAACAGAAAATTATTTTATAAAAAAGAAATTTTTTTTATTAAAGTATAATAATAAATCATAATTAATTCATGCACATATAGGATAGCTTGGTTAAGTTATTGTGCTCATTTGATAGCCTTATATTAATTCAGGTTATAATAATGTTTAGGGTGTTCGTGATTAAGTGAAGTGAAGTAATTGTGTGAATCGCTCGTGTTACGATCAAGGTACGTTGTGTGGTTTTATACCTTCGAAAGTTGACTATGAAAGTATGTTTTATTACAACCCTTATGAAATTATGACTTGTTATGCTTCTTATGTTCCGTATGAAATTATATTTTATTATGTTCCATATGAAATTATATTATATTTTTCCGTATGAAACTATATTTTATGTTCCGTATGAAATTATGTTATTACGTTCCATATGAAATTATGTTTTATGAAATTATGTTGTATGATGGATTGAAATTAATGATTTTGATTAAAACAAAAGTGACTTTGAATCGTGATTGAAATTATTAAAAAGGATTGGATTAAAAACGATTTACAAGTTTATCGTTATTCAAGTATAACGGATTTTAAAAGGTGCTTTTAAGCAAATCAATCGATATGTTATGAATCCCACTTAGGGAATGGATTAGAGAAGGCTATGGACTTTGCATGACCTAGTCCTCCTCAAGATTGGCCTTTGTTCATAAAGAAAACCACTTGGGGGGTGTGCACACTTAGTGAGGAATTGGTTTTGAAATGTAATCGATTGAGTTTTAAACTTGTCTTGAACGAATTGAATTGCAAAAGTTATTGCATCAGTATGATATTGGAAAGAATGTGTTGGAATTATTGGAATTAAATGTACGTGTTTTAATTAATGTTTTACTTATCTCACACATAATCTACTTAGCACAATTTGCTAATACGTGCTTTGGTTTTGGCTTTGCCCTGTTTACCATAATGGTAAGCAAGTGAACTTTTTAGGTGGAAGTTGATTGATGCATATGGGAGTCCACGGGAATTTCACCAAGCTTAGGAAAAGTTTGAGTTGTTTTTGTGTTATGATTTATGAACAGTTTTATTTGAAGTACTATTAATGATGAATAAAGAATTTCCGCTGCAAAATTATTTTGAAATATTAGCCTTGCGTTGTTATGCGGCGGTAATACGCCTAAGTCTATCTCTACGGTATTTATACATATTTTCTACATATTCCGTAGAGGGATATTTGGGGGTGTTACAAAGTGGTATCAGTTTGTCGGGTCTTAAAACAAGATTAAAAGTTGAAATAAATAAATTGGATGGGTAGACTTAAGTTGGGCCTATATGATAGAGTTTCGCAATAAAAAAAAATACTTTTTTCATAAAAACTATTTTCTTCTTTGGAAAGGTGATTGAGAAAAGGATGTTCGGGTTCTCATAATGAGGCCTATAATGGGTACGCCTCTCTGTCTAGGCAAGGCTCCCCCCGACGCTATGTGTAACTTACCTGGGAGACGCGGGCTCGACCATCCTATATCATGAATCGAGTACACTATTAATTTCGAAATAAAATGAATTGAAATTTCCTAAGATTCGAAACTATGTGTGCATGTAAGTTAGTATAATATGAATTTTTTTTTAATTTGGAAAAGTCCATAGACAGGACATCTTGGGTATATATGTGGCCCATGCATGTTAAACTTATATGCTTGTGAACATTGATTTGTTTATATGAATACTTATTGAATTATTGTTGTCTAAACAGATGTTGGATGATATTAGGAAGAAGTACTTTAACATTCATTACTTGAAAACTGATGCAATCAGTGTTAGCGATTTTGTGACTGGAATAACGGTGCTAGCTCTACACTATTATGAGAAGTACAACCTTGAAGTTTTTACCCAACCTACTTGGCTAGTTCTTTTGGCATTAGCCCACTTACCCAATATTAAGAAGTATTATCCTCTTCTTGAGAAGTATGGGGATGTGGTTAAGGATGATGGACTTTGGAACGAGAGACACCACCATGAAGGGAGATGGTTAGCCACCTTAACCCATTTTAAGAATGATTTACACTACTTGGAGCGTAAATATGAACCAAAAAGGAAGTTTGTGAAGCCACCTAATCTTACACCTCACCACACATTAACCGAGGTTAACCAACTTCGCTACCTAAACGCCCAACTCCCTTTCTCTTACCCAAAGTATGAAAAAGTCTTTGACTCTTCTGACGATGAATCCATTCCACCACTTGGAAGACATAAGAACTATCCTTCTCCTTCCCATTTCTCAAAATATAAGGTTCCTACCTCACATGAGCACCCAAAACCTCGAACCAAAGCCCGAATTCCAAAAAGGCCTAGAATTCATGACTTTTCATCATCTTCTAGCTCCAACTCTCCACCTTCTCCACAACCCAACAACCCTAACCCTCAAGGAAACCCAAACCCAAAGTCAGGCCAAACCCCAAATTACAGTGATTATGTACCAACCTACTTGAAGGAACCCAATGGTAATAAGAAGGCTAACAATGAAGATCCAGAGTTCGATCCAATGGAAGAGAAGGGTTCAAATAAATGATCTATGTTATGACTTGTTTCAATAAATTTATGCACAATGAATTGTACTTTGAATATTAATTAGTAATAATAATAAAGTATTTGCTTGATCTCTTCTATGTTTATGTGTACGAATAAATTTTAATTTTCTTTCTTTCTCTCAAATGTGAACATCAGGAAAGATATGTCTTTAAAGTTAAAGAATAAGAAAGTTGGTTCCAATATGGGCAAGGTCCTTAAGAAACTAACCCATCTTGCTGAAAACATTACCCAAGTAGCAAGCCAAGGGAAGGATTCAGGAAATGGGGACACTTTTGGTGAAGTCTTTAAGGGAGTAGCTGCAGCCAAACCACCCTTTTTCTTAGGAAAAGAGGACCCATCTAGCCTTGAAAACTGGATCCGAGATAAGTTGTTTGATGCAATCAAGTGTCCAAACGATATGAAAGTTAGTAATGGTGCTTACTATCTAAAAGCAGAAGCTGACTTATGGTGGACGCAAAAGAAAGAGGAATTGATGAATGACCCTAATTTTGGCTGGGAGGATTTTAAGGTAGCCTTGAGGAAAAAGTTTTACCCTGACCATTTGAGGAAATAGAAATGTATGGAGTTCACTAACTTAAGGATGGAAACAATGACTGTGAGTGAGTACTATTCTAAGTTCATAGAACAGATGAGGTTTGCACCGGAAGTAGTACCAACAGAGGCTATCAAAGCCCAAAGGTTCGAATAGAGGTTAACTTGAAATCTACAAGGAAAACTGTGTGGGGTAACCTTTGAGAGTCTAGATGAGGTGTATGGTCGAGCTGCCTATTTGTATGGGATCAAAGGAAGAGAGCTAGGGAGCATGTCAAGGGAGAAAAGGAAGTCCAATGATCAACCCCAAGGGAGCGATAAGAGGCCTAAGAACCATGCGAGTTTTGGGAATGGGAACCATGGGGATAAGAGGGACTTTAAAGGGAATTTTTGGAGAAACTCGAACCAGGGTGATGAGAATAGAGAGAAAAAGGATAGAACTAAGAGAAGTTACTTCTGTAAAAGATGTGGGAAGGATCACCCGGAAAGGATTGTGCAGGTAATAAGTGACTTGTTGATACTGCCAAAAATTGGGACACCGAGAATACGAGTGTTTCAAGAAGGAAGCAGATTTGAAGAATAGAAAGGTTCAGGATGGACGGAATCCCCCAAAACCCTAACAATCTAGTGGACCTGCCCAGAACACTAGAATCAACAATGGTGGAAATACTTCTATGGGCCGGATTTTCGTAATGAATAGCCGTGAAGCTGAGACTTCCAATAATGTGGTAATTGGCACTTTTCTTATACGTTCTTTATCTGTGAAAGTTTTATTTGATTCGGGTGCATCGCACTCTTTTATATCTAAGATAGTAATAGAAAGTCTCCAGTTAGAAAGTCCAGAGTCAGTCTCCTTGGATGTAGCTATTCCAACAGGGGAAGTTAGGGAGTGTTATAGACTTTTTAGGAATATACCCCTAACTATTTCAGAAGTAAAGTTTCCATCGGACCTAATTGCATTCGATCTCAAAGATCTTGATGTGATCGTGGGAATGGACTGGTTGGGAAAGTACAAAGCCCAGATAGATTGTGCAGCACGGAAAGTCACGCTTTATGGCCCAGCAAAGACCAGAGTGACTTATAGGAAGGAAGGGAAAAGTCAAGAGATAAGAATTATTTCTGCGTTACAACTTCATAAGTGTCTCAAGAAAGGGTATCCGTTATTCACGTGTAGCCTCCAAGAGATAAGGGATGAAGAAGAAAAGAGTGATACAAAATTACCTGTTGTGGAAGAATTTCCCGATGTATTTCCTGGTGAAATACCAGGCATGCCACCAGAAAGAGATGTGGAATTCACGATTGACTTGGTCCCTGGAACTGGACCTATTTCCAAGGCTCCATACAGGATGACCCCAGCTGAGATGAAAGAGCTAAAGGCCCATTTAGAGGATTTTCTTGAAAAGGGATACATTAGACCCAGTTCCTCACCCTAGGGAGCTCCAGTACTGTTTGTGAAGAAAAATGATGGGAGTTTAAGGTTATGTATTGATTACCGTGAGTTGAATAATGTCACCGTGAAGAACAAATACCCACTACCCCGGATTGATGATTTGTTTGACCAGTTAAAGGGAGCAGGAACATTCTCGAAAATAGATTTGAGGTCGGGTTATCACCAGTTAAGGATTGCAGAGCAAGATATTCCTAAGACTGCTTTCAGGACCCGTTATGGCCATTATAAGTTTACAGTAATGTCATTTGGGTTGACAAACGCACCGGCAGTGTTCATGGATCTGATGCATCGAATTTTCCGACCCTATCTGGACATGTTTGTAGTGGTATTTATTGATGACATTCCGGTTTACTCGAATAGTAAGGAGGACCATGAAGACCATTTGAGGAAAGTGTTACAGTTGTTAAGGGAGCACCAGTTATATGCCAAACTTTCTAAGTGTGAGTTCTGGTTAGAGAAAGTTGCCTTCTTGGGGCATGTGATTTCTAAGGAAGGAGTCTCGCTTGACGCAGCTAAGGTGCAAGCTGTACAGGAGTGGCCAACCCCAAGGAATGTGTTAGAGGTAAGGAGTTCCCTGGGATTGGCCGGGTATTATCGGAGGTTTATAAAGGACTATTCGAAAATAGCAAGACCGATGACCAACTTGATGAAAAAGGAATGTAAGTTCATTTGGTCTCCTGAGTGTGAGGAAGCATTTCAAACCCTGAAAGAAAAATTGACAACAGCTCCTGTGTTAGCATTACCTGATGAGAGTAAAGAGTATGAGGTGTACAGCGATGCGTCAAAGTTTGGGTTAGGATGTGTTTTGATGCAAGCTAGGAGAGTAATTGCTTATGCCTCAAGACAGCTTAAGACGTATGAGCAGAATTACCCAACGCATGAATTGGAACTTGCTGCCATAGTGTTTTCCTTGAAGATTTGGAGGCATTACTTGTATCGAGTGACTTGTAAAATTTTCACTGACTTGTAAAGTATATCTTCCCCCAAAAGGAATTGAACAATAGACAGAGAAGGTGGTTAGAATTCATCAAGGATTATGAGCTGCTAATCCAGTACCATGAGGGTAAGGCTAATGTAGTGGCAGACGCCTTAAGTAGGAAGTCAAGACACTCGATATATGCGATGATATTGCCGGACCAACTGTGTATCGAGTTCCAAAAGATGAGTTTGGAGGTAGTAGAGCAAGGAGAAGTCAGTCGGATGTTGAACGCTTTGATTATACGACCATCGATTTTCGAGTAAATTAAGAACAGTCAGTCGGAGGATGAAAAATTGAAGAATATAAAAGAGAAAATGGGTGAAGGGTAGGTATTAGATTTCAACATTGATGAGGACGGTGGACTTCGTTTTAAGGGAAGATGGTGTGTTCCACAACACCGTGGGGACATCAAACAGAGGTTGATGGAAGAAGCTCATAATTCTCCTTATTCAATGCATCCTGGAGGGGACAAGTTGTATAAGGACATGAAGAAAATGTTTTGGTGGCCCAATATGAAAAGAGAAGTTGAAAAATTTGTGGCTAAGTGCCTAACATGTCAGAAAGTGAAGATTGAACATCGCAGACCACAAAGGAAAGTCCAATCATTAGAAGTGCCTAATTGGAAGTGGGATTCCATCTCTATGGATTTTGTTGGGGCATTACCCAAAACTCGGGCGGGAAATGACACCATTTGGGTAATTGTGGATCGATTGACGAAAACAGTTGTCTTTATACCCATGAAAAGCACTTGGTCCATGGAGCAATTGGGAAAAGCCTATGTTAAGTATGTAGTAAAGTACCATGGGGTGCCAAGAGATATTGTGTCAGACAGGGATCAAGGTTCCTATCCAACTTTTGGCAAAGTGTGCAAAAAGTAATGGAGACGAAACTATTAATGAGCACGTCATTTCACCCTGACACGGACGGACACACCGAGAGGACCATCCAAACATTGGAGGATATGTTGAGGGCATGTGTAATGGAATATCAAGGTTCGTGGGAAGACCACCTGGATTTGATTGAGTTCTCCAACAACAATAGTTACTATGCAAGTATTGGGATGCCACCATTTGAAGCCCTATACGGGAGGAAATGTAGAAGCCCGGTCTGTTGGAGTGATATCAGTGAAACAATGGTACTTGGACTGGATATGATTGAAGACATGGTTAAACAAGTCAAATTGATACAAGAAAAGATGAAAGCAGCCCAAGACAGGTAAAGAAGCTATGCTGATCCAAAGAGAAGGGAAGAGGAATATCAAGTAGGAGAGAAAGTGTTGTTGAAAGTGTCACCCATAAAAGGGGTTATGAGATTTGGGAAAAGAGGAAAATTGAGCCCGAAGTATATTGGACCATACGAAATTACTCAACGGATCGGAAAAGTGGCATATAGGTTGAACTTACCCGGTGAGCTAGAAAAGGTCCATAACGTATTTCATGTGAGCCAACTCCGGAAGTATGTACCTGATACGACTCATGTATTACAACCCGAGAACATAGAAATGGAGGAAAACCTGACTTATGAGGAAAGACCTGTCAAAATTCTGGATACTAAAGTCAGGAGCACAAGAAACAAGGATGTGAGAATCGTAAAACTGTTATGGACAAATCACAGAATTGAGGAAGCAACATGGGAAGCTGAAGCCGATATGCGAAAGCGCTACCCGGAACTTTTTCTTGAGGTTAGTGGTCGAGTTACGAAGGTGTAACTCTTTTTAAGGGGGGTAGAGTACGATAGAGTTTCGCGTGCGTTTATTTTCAACCCTTTAGGTTAGCAATAGGTCGTGTCTAGCTAGAATGTGCATTAAATTAACAAACTAAAACCTATTTTCAAAGAAGGAAAATTTTAAATTTTTCCTCATTATCCTGCCTAGTTTCGGGGCGAAACTTCTTTTAAGGGGGGTAGACTGTAATACCCCATATTTTTTAAAGGTATTTTCTAAATTAAAGAGTATTTTAGTCTCGTATTTTGACGTATTTTTCTAAATTAATTATTTTTCTAAAGAGTATTTTAGTTTTGGAGCCAAAATGATATTTAAATTTTGGCGCCTAAATCATTTGTCTTATTATTTTACAAAAATAATTAAAATGGATAATCCAATAAATGAAACTATTTTATACCTATGTTATAAATATAATTTTTGATTTCTCAAAAATTAAATAGATAAACCAAATTATATTAATTCGGTTAAAATAAATTAATTAAATTAATTTCCTTAAACTAATTAAATTGTATTTTTGGATTTCATATAATAAAAATCTGAATTGTTTTAATACCTTTCCAAATTAATTATTTTTATGAAATATATATCTATAAATTAGTTAATAAAATTAATTTCCTAAACTAATGATATTTTCGGATTTTTCATAATGAAAATCTGATTTTATTTATTTTAATAAAATAAACTAATTTAATTTAATTTTCGGATTTTAAAAAAATAAAAATCTGATTTTATTTAATATCCTTCTAAGTAAATTATTTTCATGAAATAAATTAATTTTCTAAACTAATTAAATGTTATTTTCGGATTTTTCATAATAAAATCAGATTTTTATTTAATATCTTGCTAAACTAATTATTTTCATGAAATAAATTAATTTTCTAAACTAATTAATAGTATTTTCAGATTCTATATAATAAAAACCTGATTTAATATCTTCCTAAATTAATTATTTTCGTGAAATATATATTTGTAAAATATTTTACCTAATCTATGAAATTAACATAGAAGATCCGAAAATATTAAGCAAATATTTTTGGCCACTCATAGCTTTTCTAAATAATTTTCAACTTATTTTATTAAAAATCCTTTAAAATTCCTTATTTCTACTCTTAAATCTAGATATTATTTGATCTTATTCTATATTTGCACTCCAAGCTCAAAACTTACTAAACAAAAATTTCATGACCAAATAAAAATCTAAATAATCTTCCATACATTTAATTATTTCCTAAACCCTTAAAACCCTAATTTCCATCCTTTGAAATTACCATAAGTCATACAACCCTAAATTGCTATAAACTCATCACCTAAACACCTATAAATACCCCTTCCAAACACCCCAAGACTCACACCGAAACCTCAAGAAATCTTCTTCTCTCTCTCTTTTTCTCTCTCACGGTTTCCTCCTCTTCTCCTCCCTCAAACTTTCGGCCAACACCATCACCGACGGCCCTCACCGGCGACCACCAGCCACCACTGCCGGCAGCCACCACCTCTCACGGCCAACCACCTTGCTTCCTCCCTTGCCTTGGTTTCCATCTTCGTCCTTCAATTTCTCCTTCTCCTAAACTTGTTTTACAATTTATAATTGACTTTCATAAATATTATTTCTTGAATAAATTATTTTATAAAAAAAGAAAATTACTTTATAAAAAAGAAAAATTTATTTTATTAAAGTATAATAATAAATCATAATTAATTCATGCACATATAGGATAGCTTGGTTAAGTTGTTGTGCTTATTTGATAGCCTTATATTAATTAAGGTTATAATAATGTGTAGGGTGTTCGTGATTAAGTGAAGTGAAGTAATTGTGTGAATCGCTCGTGTTACGATCAAGGTACGTTGGGTGGTTTGATACCTTCGAAAGTTGACTATTAAATTATGTTTTAATAAAACCCTTATGAAATTATGACTTGTTATGCTTCTTATGTTCCGTATGAAATTATATTTTATTATGTTCCGTATGAAATTATATTTTATTATGTTCCGTATGAAATTATATTATATTGTTCCGTATGAAACTATATTTTATGTTCCGTATGAAATTATGTTATTACGTTCCGTATGAAATTATGTTTTATGAAATTATGTTGTATGATGGATTGAAATTAATGATTTTAATTAAAACAAAAGAGACTTTGAATCGTGATTAAAATTATTAAAAAGGATTGGATTAAAAACGATTTACAAGTTTATCGTTATTCAAGTATAATGGATTTTATAAGGTCCTTTTAGGCAAATCAATCGATATGTTATGAATCCCACTTAGGGAATGGATTAAAGAAGGCTATGGACTTTGCATGACCTAGTCTTTCCTCAAGATTGGCCTTTGTTCATAAAGTAAACCACTTGGGGGGTGTGCACACTTAGTGAGGAATTGGTTTTGAAATGTAATCGATTGAGTTTTAAACTGTCTTGAAAGAATTGAATTGCAAAAGTTCTTGCATCAGTATGATATTAGAAAGAATGTGTTGGAATTATTGGAATTAAATGTACGTGTTTTAATTAATGTTTTACTTATCTCACACATAATCTACTTAGCACAATTTGCTAATACGTGCTTTGATTTTGGCTTTGCCCTGTTTACCATAATGCTAAGCAGGTGAACTTTTCAGGTGGAAGTTGATTGATGCATATGGGAGTGCACGGGAATTTCACCTAGCTTAGGAAAAGTTTGAGTTGTTTTTGTTTCATGATTTAAGAACAGTTTTATTTGAAGTACTATTAATAATGAATAAAGAATTTCCGCTGCAAAAGTATTTTGAAATATTAGCCTTGCGTTGTTACGCGGCGGTAATACGCCTAAGTCTATCTCTACGGTATTTATACGTATTTTCTACATATTCCGTAGAGGGAGATTTGGGGGTGTTACAATGCGAGAGGCTATGAAGTGCGTGAGGCTGCTATGCTAGCACACATCGCCATATTACAGCACGCATAGCGCGCTGCTGCTGTGCTTGAGCTAGCGATGGGGTGCGGCTGGGTGCGTGGCCCAGCACGCTAGCATGCTTGCAGCCTTGTGCACCAGCCTTGCTAGCATGCTTGCGGTATGCCTACTGATGCACATGGCATCTTAAGCTAGCCTAGCACTCGCATTGCTAGGCAATTCAAATGCGAGGCTATGGCTTAGCTCGAACTTGTCGCTTGCTTGATTTCTCGTCTCGTCGAATTCTAAATTCGACTCAAATTACGACGCTCGGTTTTGACGCTCTAAACTCGACATCCGACGTCTTTGTTCGTAATACTCTAACGACTCATCTAATCCTTCGAATTGATTCGTCGCCTCGGATCGGTTACTCGATTGGGTGTGACCCGGAGGGTTCAGTCAAGATTAAGCTGTAATATTAATTATACATTAATATTACTAATCGGAAGCGGCCTCCACGTAGGCATTCCGATCACTTGACCTCACTGAAGAATTAGCTTTTTAATAATTCTAAACCCTCTATCGGAATAATACACTTGTTGGAAGGACATCATTCCTTTCATGTATCTTGCCGGAAAGAGTAAGGTTATCCTTGATCGGAAAATTACAGTACTCTTAAATGCTCTCATTGTTTTCCATTGTGGGTTTCTACTCCTTCAAGTATAAAGTGTTCCTTTTCTGCAATATGTCACACGGATCCCATTTCTCTAAGTTTTATTTTGATTATGTAAGTGTTAAGGTTTGTAAAAGAGGTGGAGGTGTAGCATCCCCTCTTGTCAAGTTGTGTAATGGTCTGTTGTGCTTTGGTGTCAACCGTTGTAAAGGCTTAAGTGTTAACAGCCTATTTATCTTTGTTGTTTTAAAGTCTAGACCTTTAGTGGTAAGTTTTAATTTTTGTACTGTATTTTGTAAACTCTGATTTTATTTATATTGATTTGATTGTTGTATTAAAAAAAACCATTAATACAACTCAAGCATTTATCTCATAAATATTTTATTAGGCAACTTCAGTAGTTAAAAAATATAAATATTACAAGTACGATCAAATTATTTGTGCATTGTATTGACTTTTTGTAATTTAAATAAGCACTACTCATAGGAGTAATTTTAGAGTAGTAATTGGCCCCGATTGATGTTATAGATCATTGCATGTATTTTGAACAATAAATTATAATTCTTCTGTTCTTTTTTACTTAACCTGTTTCATACCAATGCAAAACTTTAACCATCAATAATTTTAACTCTTCATAAGTAAAAATTATAAAAGTTATATATTATGACAGTACTTATTGAGACGATTTTAACAATATCTCACATGAATGTGTTTTTCCTTACGTAGAATTCACAAAAGACGGCCAAAGGGGGGTTAGTGAATAGTGTAAAAGTCAAAGCGGGTCAAGTGAAAAAGAATGGAGGAAGTATTACAACCGCCTAATTAAACTGTTTAATTAGTTAGTTTAGTTCTTTTACATGTGGTGAGATTATATGACGATCTACCATTTTTGTTAAACTGCAACACATCGCTTCAGTCAAACTTTAAGTGATACATTAGTGTACGTAAACATATAAATAAATTAGCATATCGATAAGACGATAGCGATAAGCTACTAACATTAAATTTTTCTAACTTAATTTGTTTGTTTTCGTTAGGGATGTTCAAAAAAACCCAACCTACTTGACTCGACCTGACTACCCGATGACCCGTAAATTACCCGACGGGGGTATTTGGAAAAAAATTTCCAAATTTTCGGGGCGGATACCCGGCCCGGTAAAATACTTAGTTCACGGGTCGGGTCATGGACCGGAGTATGGGTTACTCGGGTACCCGTTAATACCCGATTAAAAAAAATGCAGCTTAAGTCCAGTAAACTTACTAGGGTTCCCGTCAAAAAAAAAAAAAAAATAATAATTAAAATTTCTAGTGTTATTAGATTACTTTAGTTTTTCACTCTCAGTCGTCATCTCATTTTTTTCCCCACCTCTTTCCTCTCTACAATCTCTCTCTTCTCTCACCAATTACTCTGTAAAGATAATGTAATCTGCATCAAATTTTCAA